GGGGGGGGGTGCGGTGGTGCAGGTGAGAGAGGGGCGGAAAATGTGTGTGTGTGTGTGCGTGTGAGCGTGTATGCCGAGGGCTAGTTTTGGGTGCCTGCACCTGTGCGGGCGCGAAGGTGCAGGCACCCAAAACAGCCCAGGTTGAGGCTTGCTATGACATTGGTGTAGCTGTGCTACTGCTAAATCACAGAGGACAGGATTCTCAGCAACTGTTCGGCGTCGAAAACGCTGCCCTTTGCTCACAGCCAGCGCCAACACCCGGGGCTGCTGCCGCGCTCCTACACCACCCACAGGTGCGCCTGCCCACGCCCGCCGCAGCGCCGCGCCGTGCACGGCCCCGCCCCGCCCCTCCGGCTGCCCGTGCCGCACGGCGACGTGCCCACCTTCGGCGGCGCTGCCAACCTCCAGGTCTTCCCTGAGCAGCAGCAGGCGCGTCTCCGCGCCTTCAGCGTCGGGCACGATGCAGCGCGTCTTTGGTTTATCCAGGGTGAAGCTGCTCTTGCGATTACATGATTGTTGGTGGCGGTTGAGGGGGCCGAGGGGGGGGGGGGTGAGCGGGTTGTGCAGGCACTTGAGTGCGTGCAGGCAGATTTTTCGCACAGACGGCGCCCGCACACGCGTGCGCGGCGCGCTCACTGCGCCGGTCGACACAGCGGAGCGCGGTGCGCGAAATCAAGTGCAGAGTGTTGCTGCTTACTCACGCTGCAAGCGCTGCGCGGTCAACAGGCGTCGCCACACCCACCCCTTGAACGTGCGCATCAGCTCGTTGCACCGCTGCTTAGGTATCCGCAAGGCCGGCACAGTCACCACTCGCCGAAACGCATCCCGGTCGAGCGCCACGGTTGCAGCTGCAGGCGGTACCGGACCCGCGGCTGCGACTGCCGTGGGCGCCTCGCCGCCCGTCGCCGCAGACGCCATGGTCCTTCGGGTGGCGGCGAGCGTGCGCCGCCACAACAGCATTCACAGGGAGGCCGCGGAAGCAATTCGTCAGCGCGCCCGCAGGCGCGAATGCTGCAGCCGTCGCGCCGCGCCGCGCCTCGCGGCTGGTGCTTTCGAAATCGTCAGTGCGGCAAGATGCTATGCTGCAGCCGTCAAGCAGTGTGCGGTGATGTTCATATAGGTCGCTTCGGGGGCTGATTTATTGGCTGGGTATGACTCAAGTTTTCAGATCTCATCAAAAGCCAGTTGCTCCGTCCAAGGGCTGAGTTGTGTCATTCTCCATCGCAATGGTACATAACTTAAGATTAACAGTCGCGGTTGAATTTGCTTATCCTCCCACCTGCCGAGTCACCCGCGTTACAATCTGTCAGGCAATTGAAAGGCTTGGCGCGCATACTGGGGTGGATCATCACAGGCTCTGCTGTTTCACTAAGGGCCCTGAAGAGTTGCAGTCCAGTTGGCGCGCTGCTCGCTCACCACGCTGACACGGCTGGCGCAGTGCTTGGACCGGGCGACTGCGACGCGTGCCCTCCCACCGTGGCTGTATGCGGGCACTCGGCATGCGGTGAGCACTGCCGCACCTGCAAGCTTGCTGCCTGCAGCGACTCCTGCGCAATGCAGGAACCTGAACAACCTCACCAACACCCCGCGTCACCCCCGCGATCACGCCCCACTCTGCAGCGCCGGCCTCCAGTGCCTGCCCCCCCTCCGCCGCCGCGCCCTCGCCGCGCCGCGCGCCGCCCTCTCCACCGCTGCTGGCCCCGGCGCGCGC